AAGTAATCGAAGTAATCAATTGAAAATAAAAAGAGCATCACCCATCACAAACATTTAGCCAATGAAAGTGCACTACGTTATATCAGATATATCTATATGTATAATTATTTGTATAATTTACTAGATATTGTTATAATTGCTAGAAGTAAATCCAAAATTCCCCTCTTTTATCTATAATAACTAAGAGTTCCTCACCATTAACCGTCAGAGTACTCTTGGAAAGATGTTAGTTTCATTTCATTCCTTGCCAGGGACAGTAGGTTATACATCTATATGAATGTGTTGCTGGATTATTCTATTTGACTTCCGGTAAGTGATTAATTTATATATTAACGAGTCCATGAATAAAAAGTTACCAAATGAACACATTTGAAAAGAAAGTAAACTGGCAAATAGAAATGGAATGACTCGGTACGTAAACGAAAAGAATTGTTTTTTGAGTGCAGACTGAAAATAAAACACTTCATACGAAATAAACGGGCAATTTTTTTCATTGTTCTTTTGACCAGAAAATCTATTTCCGGATTTAAAACGACTGGACAAACTTTGAAAATTGAAGTTCTTAATGACATATATTGCCTGTTACTTTTTTTAACGTACATTCAGAAATATATTTGTACATACGCACACTTACATACACGTGTATGTTGTGGTTGTGTATGTATATGCGTGTGTGTGGGGGGGGGGTGTATGATCGCGTGCATGTGTGCGTTCATACATCATATATCATACATTCATAATCATTAGAAGTGAACTTCCATTTTTAAAATACTCTACTTCACATGACACTAAGCGAGAGGGAAGCATTTTCTAAATTATGAATTTTCGCCAATTAATTTGAATGCTCTGTTAATATACGAATACACCTTGATCGTTTATTAATATATTTATCAATCTATTAGTCTTTACTGATATGATGAATTATGCTTGGCTAGGTAGCTTAAACTGACGATTGTCTATTGATATATTACCCTATACCATGACGGATCTCTGTATGTCTGTCTCTATACTTCTCTTTATCTCTCTCTCTCTCTCTCTCTCCTTCTCTCTCTCTCTCTCTCTCTCTCTCTCTCTCTCTCTCTCTCTCTCTCTCTCTCTCTCTCTCTCTCTCTCTCTCTCTCTCTCTCTCTCTCTCTCTCTCTCTCTCTCTCCCCCTCTCTCTCTCTCTCTCACTAAAGGCACTAGGTTTTATGACAGCACTTAACATAAAGTATGAACATATCACCTTTACTGACACTGTAATTGCCGCCGTCATATTCATTATATCATTATTATCAACATTATTAATTTATATCAGCATAGCTCTAACTGTTGTTTTATTATTATCATTATTATGTTACGATTTAATTATCGCTTTCAGAGTAATCAATATTAATAGTAAAGATTTTATCATATACATTACTCTCACCTTTCATCTGCTATGCATTATTATGAGACGATAATGTAATAAAACATTGTTGCAATATATTTCTCCCCCTGCAAAATGTACAGATTGAATAATATATCCGAATGTTTATATTTCATATGTGAGTTTATGTGTCACTGTGTGTGTATATGTGTGTGTGTGTGTGTGTGTGTGTGTGTGTGTGTGTGTGTGTGTGTGTATTTGTGCTTGTGTGTGTTCTTATATATATATATATATATATATATATATATATATATATATATATATATATATATATATATATATATATATATATATATATATATATATATATATATGTATATATATGTGTGTGTATTTATATATATATATATATATATATATATATATATATTCATAAATATATATATACAGATATCCATCCATACATGCATATGCAATACATATAAACCTCTAAGTTCGTTCACGAAATTTCCCTCTAATCTTTCGATGTCTTCAGATACAATTTTACACGAAACTTCCCTGGGGAAAAAAACTTGTATAACTATAATACAATCTACCTCTTAGGAAAAATAGGGAATGGTGAGTAGGGAACAAATCTTATCTTACAGCAAATTTGTTCAGTTGTTATGTCGCATCGTCGAGAGTTTTGCGAGGCCAATTTGCGACCGTGGTGAAGATTGTGGTTTCAAGTTATAGTGCGGAAGTGACAGTCTCCAACTTGAAACTTTGAAGAAAATTGTTCTGTTGTGATGATTTTGTTATTCTCGTTATATGAAGCTGGTATATACACAGTACATATATATATATATATATATATATATATATATATATATATATATATATATATATATATATATATATATATATATATATATACATATATATATTTATATATATATATATATATATATATATATATATATATATATATATATATATATATATATATATATATATATATATATATATATATATATATGTCGGTGTATGCATGTATGTGTGAAACAATCTAATTATATGTTTATCTATATATCTACCTTCCTTTCTATGTATTTTTGCATCTGGTTATATATCTGCCAGTCTATATATCTATATATATATATATATAAAAAT